TAAAAGTCTTTAATAGAACCGCAGCTACTTCTTCAGCAACGACTCTTTCGACACTTGACAACTTGTTTCGGTGAGATGCAGATTTGCGAAAGCTTTGACTTGTTGAACGTGCTTTAATGAAAAGGAGTGTTTATAGCTTCTATGTTTATTTCCGTTATCATGAGAAAGATTTAAAATGCTTCGCATTAAGCTTATTCGAATTCAGAAAGCATAGCATTATACTTTGCGGAATATGACCTTGCTGCTACATTTCAAGAGTATTCGTTAAAAAAAAAAAAAATGTTTAAAATGTATCAGTTTTTGAGACTATTTCTTCACGTTTTTTATTAATTTATTATGTAAATTTTGTTCAGATCACTGCCGACGTGCTTTAATTATACATTAAAATCAGTTACTATAATAGTGTTAAGACTGATTAGACGCAGCATAGTAAGTAGAAAGCAGCTCTCAGAACTGGAGAAAGAAAAATTTATTACATTTGAAGAATGAAGGTTTTTGGAAAGGTGGGTAACCAAGAAATCAAAAATAAAAGTTAAAACAAGAAGGTTACAAACAAAATACGAAGACAAAGCCAGAATGTCGTCTTTCGACAGAGTAAATTCATAATGCCAGAAGTTCTAGAAATAATTTCTGACTGCTTGATATTCCAAGAAGGAGAGATACATCTAAATCAAAGGATGGTAGAATTTTAGCTATTTTAGTTTCATGTTCTCATTTTACCTATATGAAATTCTATGCTCATATTGATACTTCACGCAAACATTTGAAAACAGCTAACGGTAAAATGTCGCAGATTGGTTTCTGGACGCATGTCATTGTCTGTGTCGAAAAAGCTATGCAATTTTACTGCCAAAATGTCGGTAATAGTACTGCACAACCTCAAAAAAGCAAATCCTAAACAACAACATTGAGATGACTCAACGAAGCTCACAGGGTAGCTTCTCTTGGCCAGGAAGAGCTCCAACTGCAATGATTCAAATGGGCACTCAACATTTACTATTTTAAAGAAGTATTTGTTAACCGCAGTACAGGATCATAACAACATAAGAAAATATATTATGAAAAGCAGTACATCCTCGAATATTCGTATTACTCAGGAATTTGTTAAAGTTTCTTTGCACAGAAATCGGACAAGTATTATGCGCTAGAACTCTTCGTAATTTTCTGATCACTCTCTGTAAAATACTCCATCATTTACTTCTTGAATTTCTTTATACGTACTTTTAAATCATTTTTCTTACATTCACTTCTCATTGAGCTTCGGGTACTCTTTCATTCCAAAATTTCTTTCTTTATTCCATCATTCAGTGAGAACCAAAAACGTGACGGATGCAATATACTTAAATATGGGTCTTATATGGAAAATAAATGCACTTTTAAATAATAAGAACTGCGACTTTGTTCCGTATACTGGTTAACAGAGCCGACTGCCCCAACAAACTTGGGTTCGAATCCCCGAATCCCGAGAAAATACGGATGCACGTAACTGTTTCCTCACCTCCTCTGGTGCAAAAAAAAGGCCAAATGACCACTGGTTTGATAATTCCCTGTAAATGTTTAACGAACAAGTGTCCGTTCATTGGGTTTTAAAAGGGTACTGAAAATTGACTAATTAATCATTTCAAATTAAAGCAGCGTTGGGTTTATTCATGTGTGAAAATTAACAGTTACCAATATTATAATTTTTAATTAGTTTTGCCTGAAAAATATAATTTAATTTTGATATAAAATATTTTACTCTTAATTAAAATAATGCTTAAAATAAATACTTTGCTTGGATTCTTTTTAACCATGAAAAATACCTCAACCTATCTTGGGTTCACTCATGGAAGACAGAAGTTCCGCTTACGGACTGGCCTTAATATAATATCTAAAGCAGCTTTATTGGGGGAAGGGATTCTGCTAGATAGATCCTCAAGGTCTTGTAGAAAATTTAATAATTGTTGAAAAACTATTTCTTTATGTATCTAAAAATATAAAATGTAGTCTCAAAAAAAGGAAAACAAGCGTCAGAAAGAAGTCGGATGCTCTGTTCTCCGCCCATACCGTCTTAATCAATCCTTGAATAACTCCGGATATAAAACCCTTGGGAAATTAGAGACCTCGGGTTAATACTATACCACCACCAAAGAATTTTCCACGAAGGGAAGAGCCTTCTTAACTATGTTCTAAATTATTTAAATTTATGCTTATAATAATTTAACAAATTTTTAGGGAAAAAGGGAGTTTCGACAAACATTACCGGCATACATTTACTGAGAAAAAATCTGACAAGTGGGTCTATATAAAAACTGGTATGACTGTTTTATGTAGTATTTATTATTATCATAGTTCTAAAAAAAAACTTTTGCCTAATTTGTCGAATAAATGCAGAAGACTATGTTTCCCCCAATTTCCTGATTTAGCCAAAATATTACTCATGCTTCATTATGAAGTCGCCGATTTTCCTAAAATGTTGCTTAACTTTTTACCTTTCTCAACTTCTCTAATGATATATTTATTAATCATTACATCAAGGGTAGTTAACCTTTTTATACCTATCGTCCACTTTGCACGCAGTAAAATTTCTATATCGCACAACAACTTAATATTACGGCAACTGCAAAGAAGTTTTTAAGTGGAGATTTACTAAAAAATATAGAGTTAAATTTATGCATTTATTTAAACTATAATTTACAATATTGAACTTTTAATATACGGAAAGTTCATTAACAAACAACAAAGCCGTATATATATAAGGAAACAAGAGAGCACTGTTCACAAGAACTGTTCAGGTAGAGAACTAACTTTAAGTGGGGGGGGGGTGTATATATCAACACGTCTACGCATGTCTCGGTCTTCCTTGATCATTATCGGACAAAAAACTCCACCGCTCACCGAGAGATGTTAAACAATCCACTAGTGGGCAAAAGGGGCCAGGTTGACTATCTCTGCATTACATTTATCATTAGATACACAAGCTTACGCGGCCAAATAACACTGCTGAATACTGATATTTCGGGGTTCGAACCCAGCGAACAAGCTGGCTGTACAGGCGCTATCGTGATATTCCGTATGTGGAACGTAAGTACGAGCCAGTTTTCCTTTGAAAATCCTCCATGAAGCCTCCCTTCCCCTTAGGTAAACAGACCCTTGCGCTTGTGCCATATTCATCTAAACAGCTTACGTTCTGCTGTTTTCTTAGACGTATGATCTCAAAAGATGACATCCGCTACAATTATTTTTAACGATTATTCCGAAATTGTAAAATATACACAATTTTTTGCTCTTTGCTAAATAGAAATAAATTGCTATTAGACGCAAGAACATTTCACCCTGACAAGAAATCTTAAGCTTTTAAAATAATTTTTAAACAACAACACAAAATAAATAAAAAATAAATAAATAAATAAAATTCGGCAATATAATTTATTCTCGCAAAAATATAAGAAAAAAATTACTTTTTGATTAAAAACACCATGAAGTTTGAGTTATTAGAAGTATCTTTTTTTTTTTAATACCTGATTGTAAAATTAAATTTAAAATATAAATAGGACGTTACTTCTGCGGAAAATTAACAGGTGTGTTTAATTTTAAAAAAATATTATTTGTTCTTACTAGAGTAGTTTGAAAAAATCGACAGATATGCTTTGAAAATGAATGCAGCATCACCAATTTTTAAAAATGAATGCAACATCACCAATTTTTAAAAGAACAGTTAACGATTTTTTTTTTTACGAAAACTATATTTAAAAAAAATGTTTAAAATGGATTGGCAGGGAATTTTATCCGCAAAGAAAATTCTCTTATTCAAATTACGGTAACAGACACATTTCCAGCTCCGCAAAATGAAAAACAATACAGGAAACTACTGCATACATTAAATATTTCAATGCATAAGGAAATGTTCAAACGCATTTAAAATCAAGGAACTGATTAACAGCTTTGGCAGTGACGTTACAGTAATTCTAGAGAAAGTGGTATTCACATTGTTTTGAAAAACAGTTATACATCCACTTAAAAGAGAATGAAAATTAATACAGTACTTTCTTTGCATTTAGTAATACCCTTTTTCTTTCAACAGCAGAAACTGAACAAAATCATTTAAATCGCGTACAGAAAAATAGCAGAAAATTCGATTTACTGACACTCATTTTTAACATATTTCGCCTTTGCGAAACATTTATTTCGACTTATCGAAATTCTGCCACTTTATTTTGCAGTAAATACACTTTCAACACTAACGCTCTCATGGGTTTCTTTAACATATGCAATGGTATCATTAACGCCACTCCCCAATACTTGAATAAATCGGAGTACACAGATGGGAATGGACGCTTGGAAAAGTATCTAAAACGTTTAAGCATTTACAAAGCCCTTATATTTTTGGCTTCGGAGTGGTATTTTCTAATTCTTCCGCAATTCAAACGAACGCATAAAATTTAGCATTTAATCGTTCACATTTAATGCAATAAGAGATCCACAAAAATGGTCCTCTCACTGTCTGCTACGTTACAAGTATTTACTGAAAATTCAATAAAGAATTATTCATTGGTTACACTATTCCCATCTGAAAATCATACTCTTCTTATATGCAAAGCTTTTTAAAACATTTAAAATACGCACATTAAAATAATTTATTACTTGTCTTTTATATTAAAGGAATATATACATACTTAATTTTTTTATTAAAATACGGCGTTTAAACTCTTCAAGTGTCTTTGATGGAGAATTCTTGCAATATAGCAAGCTCCAGCGTGGTTATCACGACAGTTGAATAATCGGAGAAATATGTTTTTAGTTTTCAAAAAGGCATATTTCTTAGCTATTTAGCTTCAAGAATAATATCCCGTCATGTCTAATCATGATTTGGACGTTATAAAATTTACGAGAAGGATAAAAGATCATAATGCACACATATATATATATAAATAAATACGAATAGAGAATATTTCTTAAATATACATTGAAAGCTTTCATTATCACAATTTAAAAAAATAAATAAAATAAAAATCACTCACCTTCCAACCCGCTGAGCTGTTGCTGTCGCCCTTATCTTTGAAATAGGCGACATTCTGTACCATCCACTCATAAATCTGGGCCAGAGTTAACCTCTTCTCTGGCGCACTCTGTATGGCTTGCGTAATGAGGTCCGCATAGGACATATTGCCCCATGCATTTCGCCGCGACGAGTTCTTTTTGGGGGCCTGGTCGAGCCCTGTCATGTGACCCTGCATGTGGGCCGGCAGCACTCCTTTATCGTCCCCATCTGGCTCCACAAAATTGTCCGGCCTCGGCAAGGGCCATGTGTTCGACCGGGCCCTCGTCTGAGGCTCAAAGTTCGGGTCAATCTCCAGAGGGTCCATACTGGACAATCCCGCGTGGTAATCCACTTTTGTATGTTGATAGTCAAGACACAAAAAAGAATCTATGTTTATAAATTAAATTAGCATCACCCTAGGGATGAATGGTTCAAGTTAGTTAATGCGTAGCACCAATTACTTGTTTAACAATACATTGTAAATATATGCACAACATTATAAATTCTCAGTGAGCAGTCAGAATGAGTAGAACTAATCCACTAATGTTCTTTACTGATTCTGGTTTCTTTTTACAGTTATAAAATATATATTATATACCTTGGATTATTGAGCAAAAAATATGCCACACAAGACTAGAAATTTGGAACGTTATTTAGGTTTCCTTCTTGGCAATCGTTCGCTATTATGTCATCGATATTTCAAATATAAAATCCATCAATATATATGTAAACATTCTTCACATGGTTTGATTTTGCGGCTTTAATCGAAAGGGGTATCGTAAACGATAGCCGCATGTATTCTCCAACATACACAGAACTGCAACACGAAGCAGCTACAAATGTACGACGCACTTCCAAGGTTATACTCATTAACGAAACGATGTAGGAAAAAAAAAAATATTCGGAGCCAAAAGGAATGAAACCCGGCGCAAATATTCAGGATCCTCCCCAGTGCAGCCGCAAATCTTTTCGCATCAGATCCATGTCTTTTAAGTTGCCGTACGGTATCCACAGGTGGTCCAAGAACAACACAAAACTCGAATTTGGTGATCGCAAAACCGGAGCAAAGTGTGCGGTGCACCACACTCGCAGCTCACATCTCTAATACTAGTTGAATACAGCAAGTTGCATTGCGCCGCGCTCAGCACGCATTGGGCTGTGACGTTCACATGACGTCATGTTGCCCGTAGCGACGGTTGCACGCTTTTCCAGCGTTTGGCGTCCTTCTGATTTGGACTGAATGATTCAACCGCCATCTATTGCTTCAAAGACGTACTATGTATTCTTGAGCTTTGCTCACGGAATAGGTAGCAAATCGTGCGTTAACAACGTAGTTATGAAAATAGGAATAAATTAAATTTATTGGATATTTAGCATTTTGTTTTTATTTAAATGAGTTATGTAGTGTATTAAATTTTTTTTTACCATCAATATATAATAGATCAGTTACGTAATGAATAGAAAAATAAAAACGATTTACGATTCATGTAAGCAAATGATTGCCCGTAATAGAGGAGCCTAATAAACACTTACAGGGAGTTAGAAAATATCTTTCATTAATTGTACTAATGATGTAAATGCTTATGAAAATTATGATAATTCTAAAGATAATATTAATTCTATTAATTCTAAAGATAATATTTATTAACGCATTATTATGGAAGAATATTGTTTCGAAATAGCTGATATTTGTTCATCATGCTATAGCCATAGCTAAAGATGAAAAGAGGTCAAATAAAGGTTAAAATTATTAGGACACATGTATATTGTCTTTAAATCGCCTAATTAATGAACTATTGTAAATATGTACTATTATACGTAAATATAACTATTATAAGCTATAAATTAAAAATTTTATAGCTAAAGAATTGCAACACATCTTAGAAATGACAATTAAAAAATGCAGTAACGCTACGTGGAATCTGAAAAATAAAACGGCTACTTGTATTTTAACAGTGAAATATTAAAATTATTGCATTAGACGATAAAATTGTATCAAATGTATTTAATTGCCCCGCCAGCTGCCGCTGAACACTGGTAGTTCGAGTTCCGGTGAACGGGCTGGCTGCATAGGCATTTTCGAGATTTCCCCATGTGTAACGTTGATACGAGCCAGTTTCCCTTAAAAAGACCTCCACGGGGCATCCCTCCCTTTCCGTGTAGTGCCCAAGGGCGGAGCAGGTAATAAGAAAAAAAAAAAAAAAAGCTTAGAAACTTTGTTTCACAATTTCTTCTTTTATAAATTTGGGTCCACCAGTGGCCGAGCGGTAAAGTAGCTAAACACTGGTAGTTAGGTCTGAGGTTTGAATCCCGCGAACGGGCTGGCTGCATAGGCGCTTTCGTGGCTTTCCGCATGTATAACGTGCATACGAGAAAGTTTTTCTTAGAAAGTCCTCCCCGAGGCAGCTCTTCCCTTAGTCAGATAGCCCTCGAGGCTTCGCCGTAATCACATAAACCAAATCACACCAAACCTTTTATAAATTAAAATTTACTGTTAGCATGAAAGCTTTTAAACCTGCAGTAAAACTAAAGCTTTTGAAGTTTCACGCGTTTTGAAATGGCCGCCTGAAAACATCTCCCAGACAAATAATGCTTTAGTCTAAAACAGTTTTTATATGATCAAGCTGTCTGTCTGGGGGAGTGGGATTATTCTATAAGAAGAAACATGATGTTAACGGATAGCCAAGATTTTCTGAATAAATAATCCAAATGAAGAGGAAGGCTTGAACCTTTATTGCACCGCTAAGCGAGAGAAAAAAATATGCTGGTAAAGAAAAGAAAATTAACAATAGTTCAAATAAGATCAGCAGATATTACTTTGTTATGTTTAACACAAGAATGAAAGTCGTGGATCATAAAATTGCTCATTGAGCCAAGACAAAAGTCACTGGGCACTTAAAATTTAACCACACCTCAATCCGCGGCAGGGGATTCTCAGTCGAGAAAGAATTTTTCCCTAGGGGAAGAATTTTAAGGTCTCGGCAGGGAAAGTTCACATCACTCAAACTGAAACAAAAAACTCATGGTAATAATTAAGGCGTAGCTGAAACAACCTGACATGGAAAGCTTCTTAAAGTTAAATTTTAATCATCATGCAAGTTAACGAAATCAATAGAAATATTCCCTTAATTACGTTTATAAATAATAATTTATATATTAATAAGCATATAAATAATGTACATTTGCTATTTACAATCGAATCTTTTATTTTTATCAGCTTCAAGAGGCCGGAAATTTGATTTGTTATATCTAGTTGTTCGCTGTATCCGATCTGATAAAGAAAAAAGACAAACTAACAAAAACTTTTAAAAACTAAAACTAAAAATAAAAATTTGAAAGGTTTCAGATTTTATATTACGTTCGAAGAGGCGTTTTGTGTGCTACTATTATTTATTAAATATCATTTTCTTTGCACTTAAACCACAAAATTCAGTTCAACAGCAATATCGAAAAAAAAATTTAAAATGAGCTTATCTTTAGAATTTCCGATACACAGTCTCGCAAACTGGAAATAAAAAAAAAAAAGTCTTTTTTTTTTTCTTTTTTCTTTTTTTCGTACAGTGTTGCTATTGCTGTCTTTGAAATAACTGAGTTTGTTAATCAAAAATTCGTTAAAGTTTCAGAAAATATGAAATAGATCTGGGGTTCTCAACCTGTGGTATGCAAGAGAAAAATAGGTGGTACGCAAAGAAACAAAGTATTTTTAACTATTAAATTCAAAAATTAAAGCCCCAACATCCTGATTGAGTTCTTTCTCTAACACTCGTAAATTTATGCGATCTGAGCTTTGTTTAAGAGTACTAAAAGGTTTTCAATTTTTGTTTAGATAGTACACGTTAGTCAAAAGCTTGAGAACCGCTGAAATAGATAATAAACAAATTCCAAACTCCAAATCTGTGGGCCCACCAGCGGCCGAGCGGTAAACTCGCTGAACACTGGTAGTTCGATCCGAGGTTCGAATCCCGCGAACGGGCTGGCTGCATGGGCGTTTTCGTGGTTTTCCCCATGTGTAACGTGTATACGAGCCAGTTTCCCTTAGAAAGTCCTCCACGAAGACGTCCCTTCCCTTAGGCAGATAGCCCTCGAGGCTTTGGCATAATTACACAAACCAAACCAAACCAAATCTGTGTTCCCAGGTGCCCATATTAGGGTGCTGGATTACATTATTCAAAATTTCATGGCTCTAGGTGCCGTTGTTTTACCGCAGAGCGAGAAACATATATACAATTATGCAGCTTCTTCATTATTTAATATCTTTAAATATAATACAAGGCGATAATATTTGGTAGCAACAATTTAAAAAGGGATTCAACGCGTTTAAATTTTCAATGCAAAATGCCAAAGGGAAATTAATAGCCCTTCTGTCAAAAAATAGTAAATAAATAAAAAAAAAAAAAAAAAAAACCCTGCATGATAAATTTAAAAAAATTTAACACTGACAAATCGAAAAAGCAATCGTGTTAAGATTTAATTACAATTACTATTACGCGCAGTTATTAAATTTTGTGTTCGTCCGTTTTTAGTTTCCTTATACATTAATAATTTTACACAATAAATTAATTACCTAGCATAAATAACATGTTTCTAATCGAACATCCCCTCGAACTGTACATTTATAGCTGCGAATAATTATTTTATCCATAAAAGTATAAAAACGCTAAAATTGAAATAACAAAAAATACTGACTCATTTACCTTCAACTTTTTCTTAAATTCCGAGAATGAAAATAATCTCGGAATAACCTGCCCCCCCCCAAGCTTGTGTGATGAAGATTGCAATAACTTTGTGTCTATATTTTAATCTGAAAATTGAAGAGATGCCATCCCTTTCGGTTCTGCAGTTTGTGAGAATAAAAAATTGTTAATTATACGCATTAGAAGGTGCTGTGAGAGTTTGTTTTCCGTATGTTGCTTTTCTGCAACATTTTCATCAGCACCAAAAGAATCTTCGATGCCAGTATTTCTAGTTATAATTTCTGTTACAATATTTACATCACGTGGATCTTCGCATATTAGGAACATCATTACCAAATGTCTGGAAAAACTCCATATCACATTCTGAAAATATTCAAACGTCATTTTTTTTAGTCACTTAGTAATAAGGAAATCCTCATTTTCATATGCCTTTTTACTACACTTTTCTAGACCAGAATACCGAACACAATTTTGGAATGTTGATTCTGTGAAAAGTTACCAAACCTTTTCTACCTCTAGCATTCCATCATGAAGTGAAACGTTTATACGACGTTAATTGTCGTTCTCACAAATACTTAAACCCAAATACTCCAAATACTTTTGAGCAGCTTTCGATAATGATACTTCAAGCTCTTAATCAAGCCTTCGTCTACAGGTTGCAGCATCAAAGTTGCATTTGCGGGAAGAAAACAGTTTTAATCCATTATAAGTTTCCGACACCTGGTCACCTGGTATTCAGGTCAGTTGTCCATCAAAAGTAAAATCTTTTGCTTTTATGGCTATAAAGTCTCTATCTGTTTTCGTAATCCTTCTGCAAACAGTCTTGACGTCATACATGTCGTACAATTAGCTATAGGAAAAGAGAAAAAGTTTTCAGCTTTTTAAAGCATCTTGGCTTTTGAGATTTTCAAAGCACCAAAAGTTTACGACGCTCAGATCCATTCATATTAACAGACACAAGAACTATGCTTCGCACTTTCCAGAATATCCGGCGAGTGTATCTTTGTTCTTTAAATTTTAATGTTTGGTTTGGCATTATCTTGTTACATTCTAAGAGAAACTGGCTCGTATATACGTTACACACGAGGAAAATCATGCAGCCAGCCCATTCGCCGTGATTCGAACCCGGGTTCTCAGTGACTTTGCCACTCGAGCACTGGTGCGCCTATTACTAAATGGAGAGCTAAGGTAAGACTATTTGAAGACGGCAAAGCCACGAGCACTCTTTTCCTAAGAGGCGGGATACCTTCGTGAAGGACCTTCTGAGGGAAATTGGCTCGTATTTTACGTTCTTATAGTTGGTTTATCGAATTAGGGCAAAGCACGTGAGTGCTATCTGTTTAATGGAAGGGATGCCTTCGTGGAGGGTTTCTAAGAGAAACTGGCTCATATACACATTACACATAAGGAAAACCAT